ATAACTATCCAAGTTTGGTCTGGTCTGATTTGGTCTGGTCTGGTCTGGTCTGGGACAAATTACAGTCCAAGTAAAAACATGTTAAATACTACATACATTTTTCAGTACGGCCATGCATGCTCGACGCACCCTAAAATATGCTATCCGTGCCCAATTTTCACATGAATGGGACAATTATGTCCTCTGCGAGTTGCAGAGCACCCTAAAAATGTTGTATTTGCATTATCCCTACCGTTCTTTTATCAACTAAGTTCCATTTTATTTACTTATTATCATATGAAAAATTATTATTGGATTATTAACTAAATATATCTTCAACTGTCATCAATTTCACATATCTATCTCATACATTCACTTTTATTTAAAAAGGACTCAAACTTCAACTTTTCTCACAATTACACTTTCAATTAATGAATTAGTAAAATCAAGAAAAAAATCATATTCATATTTTATATTTTTTTACTTGTTTCTAGTTTCAAGTTTACAAATTTGTATTGCTTATATCTAATTGGCATTGGTAAAAATGTGCAATTCTAAAAACAGAAAAAAGAAAAGCTTAATTGTTGAAAAACACGAAGTTTGAGTTTTTTTTTATAAAAATAAAAGAATATGATAGATTTGTGAATTTGATAATAGTTTGGGATAAAATAAGCTAATAATCATATTTGAATGTCAATTTTGCTATTCTATATAATTTTTAATGCAGTGTGTAATTTATCTATTAAAAGTGATTCAACTATCCGGAGAGAGGGTTTAACTTTACTATCAATTCGGGACAAAAAAAGTACTACTTCCGTCCCTTAAAACTTTGTCATCTTTGACATAAGTTAATACGGAGTAGTAAGTCAACGTTGATAAAGTTTAGACCATGATTTTTATTAGTACGGAGTATAATATTTGAGAAGTTATAAAATTTATTCTTTTATGAAAGTGATTTTAACAAAGAATGTTTTCATATCATTTATATATTATAAATAACTTCCTACAAAATGACAAAGTTTTAAGGAAGAAGACGTGAACTTCGTCCCATAGAAGTAATTTTTTAAACAAAGTTTTGGAATTTGCGAATTTTTTTTACTCATATTTCGGGTAATATTCTCATTTTCAAATTATGTAGTATTTTATTTGGTATATTTTTTAAAAAGATTGGAGGAAAAATGAAAAAATGTGACATTTTATATAAAAAACAATTCTTTGCAACATGACACCAAACTATTGAGCGTAGAGTGATTTTGAAATTGATTAAAATATGTTAGCGATCCATTGACGTTTGCTGAAGCTTCCATTATTAAGGAGAAATTACATACATTAAACTTTAGTAAAAAATGAAACGGTAAAGGGCAAATCAGTCTTGCTTAGATTAAGTAATTGGAAAATGTTTAGTGTAAATTAGTTGTACACAAGTTGTACACAAAATCCTCTAATTGCCTGTGTACACAGACAATTCGTTAAAACAGAGGTAGGAATTGATGCCAAATTGCCTGTGTACAAGACATAAAAGTGTGGGGGGGAGTTTGGGAGGGAATTTGGACGGGAAGGTGTATTCAAAATTCAAATAATCTAAAAACGTGTCTTGCACGTGAGAGTGAATATGAAACATGTGAATGCAAAAAATTTGAAGAAAAACGTAATCATGAAGTTGACCCTTGAACTTTATAAGAAGGGACAAAGTGATAAATACTCTAATAAGAAGAAGACAAAGCCTTTAATACGGAGTCTTCAGATTAAGGATTGAATTAGTCTATATCACATTAGTCGATGCTAAATGACAATCCTAATGAAGTACTCTTTATTACATATTACAAGTTATTTTGTTTGGGATAAAATTACAAAATCTATATCTATATATACTATTCCCACATTGACTTGACACACATATTAAGGAAGTGAGAGTAAGTGGAAATGTGTGTTTGTAATTATGTAAGAAAAGTGTAAAATGAATGTCAGTCCCACAAATTATCCAAAAATGGTAAGTGGAAAGATTTTTTTGAGATGGTCCAAAAAGAAAAATTGGAAGAATTTGTATGGAACGGATGAAGTATAATATAATAACATAGTGTGAGGAAATTTGGGTGGGAAAAAATGTACCAAGAAAATAGAGGGTGAGGATGAGAGGGGTATTGGCTGGAATGTTTGTTTGGCCTAATTATTACTCCGTTTAAATTTCAAATTTTGAATGCTTCGTGAAAGGCAATACATTTAATTTCAATTGCATGCTACGAAGTATGAAATTAGTGTAAGCATAATGGACATTGAGCAACACATGCAACTTACACGGCATACAATAAAAGAAAACAATTAAATTTGAAGTAGTAGTAATAATAAATAGGAGAAAATTCCAGATGGATGTCATATATAAGAGTGCTTGGTGTTGTAACGCATGACTCATTTTGCACAACTTGTATGACGGTTAGTTAGACAATACTCTCATGTTAATCATAATTCAGGCACCTGTGTGTTCTAGAGGACTAGAGCTAGAGGGTGGTGGAAAATAGTGGTCACTGATGGGTTAGATAGCAGACATTTCGGTCACCTATAGTGTTTGAAAGAATAGCAGACATTTCCATCACGTAATGAGGCGGAAGTTGAAGAGCTAACTTCATCATTCAGCCGATTATTGCTTATTTACGTCTAGCTTTTGTGGATTAGATTTTAGCAATTTGTTTCTACTTTTGACATTTCAATAAAGGGTTTTTAAATCACACCAGTTTGATTTTTAGTGACTTAATTGTGAATTTAATAACTAATGTTCATTATCATAAAAAAGCTAATGTTCATTTCTCACTTTGACTGTTACGAGTATATGTTAATTTTTGTGATACGGGATGTTTGAACAATTTTGCTTTCTTTTCAAATACTGGGTATAAGGTAATTTTCTCTTTGTTTTTTTATTTCTTTAGCTTCTGTCAAATAGTCCTTTGTTTGTTCAACTTAGGGAGAAATTATGTACGTTTTTCTGAGATTATAATCCAAATAGCTAGACTAACGGGGTGTCCTCAACTTGGATTTTAATGGATTTTAAAGGATTGAGATTTCAATGGATTTTTACGGAATTGTATAGAATGAGTAAGATTCTAATGAAATCCTTGGAATTTGAAATCCAGTTTCCAGAGTTTTTTTTTTTTGCTTCTTCGCCCTAACATATGTGACTGAGTTTTTTTTTTTGCTTCTTCACCCTAACATATGTGACACTTATCCAACGAAATAGATGACAATTATCTGTAAGAGAACCCAACCAAAAATTCCTAACCAACAGGCCTGACTTCGAATTCCAAATAGAACCCCAACAAAGCACACCCATGATCGGCAACCTGCATCCCACGAGAAAGACCCACTGCATCCTTTCTTCTTTCTCAATCTTCTATTCGATGGAGCTTTTAAATAATTGTTATCGTTGTGGAGAATAGATCTTTCGATTAGAATTGTTCTCGATCGGTTGGCTCCAGGCACCCTGACGGGAAAGCTGTCGTTGGATTAAAGATGGTGGATTTTGAAATCCGACGAGGGTTGATGATATTTTGGAGGAATTGTTTTGTGGATAGAAACTTACAAGAATCCTTTAAAATCTCAGAATGAATAATATCTGGAATCCATGGAAAGATTGAGGACACCCTTATTTCAAAGGAGTCTATTAAACTCCATAATGAGGACACCCATATTTTAATGGAATTCTAAAATCCTTTAAAATCCATTAAAATCTAAATTGAGGACACCCCTAAAGCTCTTCTACCGTTAATTAGGTTCCTGAGTTACCAGGCTTTGAGCGGTACAAAATACCAGACTTTCTAAATTAAATACGTAGTATTATAATATTCTTTAACAAAATGAAATAATAAGGTCCATTTATAAATTAAAGCAGATTAAAAAGAAAGAAACGTGTCTTTGAATTTAGAATAGTAGAGAAAAAAAAAAGAATTTAGAATAGTAGTAGAGAATAAAACCACAGTCCCGACTCCCGAATTTAATACTTCCAATTAGAGGAAAGTATTAAAAATATAGGAGTAAAGTACGGATCTCAAAAGTATACTTTTGAAGTTAGCAAAACTATACTTGACAAATATGGAGTATGAATGTATGATAGCATATTATTCCGTCCGTCCTGATGCTTCCATACTTTTTAGGTAAATGGTTAAATAAAATAATTTGGGTAAAAAAGAGAAAAGAAAATTTTTATAAAAAATAAACATATAAAGTGAAAGTAGTTAAAACGAGATAAGTTGGAGGGGAGAAAATTGTGACTTGACATACAATGAATAAGAAAGAAAAATTTGAGTAAAGATGTAAGTAAAGAAAGTAAATTATTTTCTAAAATAGAATGTGAACCTTATATGGAAGATCCAAACAAGGAAAGTGAGAATCTTTCAACGGGACAAAAAGAGTACAAGTTAATTTCAAAGAAATGTTGCATTATTGATAATTGTGCATGGACAATGTTTTTGATAAGAATATGTTTCTATAACATTTCACTTTATTATATATTCAAACATCAACCACGAACTTACTTTTTCAAATAAATTTTAATAATTGTGTTAAACTAAATTAGGATACATAAAATGGCACAAATATAATGTAGTACTACTTAGGAAGTGTTTGCATTACCTTAAAAATGTTGTTCAATTTTTGCCTTAAAAGAGGTAAAATGAGTGACTGCTCCTGTTTAAAGTAAACACTTCCAAACAAAAATCTCTATAAGTAGGCGGAGAAGTGCTTCTAACTTCTTTTCACGTTTTCTATTACATAAAAAATCACTTTTAAATACTATTAACTTTGAATCTTTCAAAAAAATCACTTTTTTCTATCTTAAACACTACTATCTTAAACACTACTAACTTTAAATTGTTCTACCTTTTTATAAGAAATCTTTATCTAAAATTTATAGAACACCAATTTGCAACATGGGTTACTCAATATCCTATGCATCGCACTGGTAATATAGTAGTGTCGTGTACAATAAGTGATCCTAAGTACTCCGTAATTTTATCGGCGCGCCTAGCAACTCCCTTTTCAGTATCGGGTATTCCATCCTCATAAAAAAGAAAACTTTAAACCCAATACCTGTTTTCTGTAGAAATGCGAGCAGTTGCGAGCCATCCGTTAATCTCTAGATTTCGGCCATGCCTGACCTATCATCTTCTTCTTAGAACGATTTCCGCACCTTCAACTTCTCATCACTACACTACAGCGCCGACCCTCTCACAACCCTCTAAAGACCTGCAAAACCCTAACCCTCGGACTCTAACCCCGTCAGAAAAGCAATTCGATTCATGGATAAACAAACTCGGTCCTGGGTTTACTCCGTCGGACGTCGATGTAGCCTTGCAGGCCCAATCCGACCCGGACCTGGCGCTCGACATTTTCCGTTGGACAGGCCAGCAGCGAGGTTACAAGCATAACCCCTTGACTTACCTCCGTATCATCCAAATCGCCATCCATGGTAAGCGTTATGGGGTTGCAGAAACCCTAATGGAGGAGGTCATTGCTGGGGCTTGCGCGCCCAGCCTCCCTTTGTACAATTGCATGATTAAATTCTGCTGCGGGCGTAAATCCTTGTTCAATAGAGCATTTGATATCTACAAGAAAATGTTGAAATGTGAAGATGCTAAGCCTTCTCTGGAAACCTACACGCTATTACTGAATACGCTTCTCCCTAAATTTAATCGGTTAAGGGTTTCCTATGTGTATTTACATTCTGTGAGATCATTAGCTACTCAAATGAAGGCCTGTGGTGTGATTCCCGATACTTATGTTATGAATATGATTATAAAGGCTTATTCAAAATGTCTTGAGGTCGATGAAGCAATTCGGGTATTTCGTGAAATGGGATTATATGGATGTGAACCGAATGCATACACATACAGTTATTTAGCCAAAGCATTTTGTGAGAAGGGAAAAGTGGATGCAGGACTCAGGTTCTATAAAGACATGAGGGATAAAGATTTCATTCCTAAGGGGAGTACTTATATGATCTTAATATGTAGTTTAGCGTTGGAGAGGAGGTTTGAGGATGCTATTGATGTGGCCTTTGATATGCTGAATAATTCGATGTCTCTTGATTTACTGACTTATAAAACTGTGTTGGAAGAGATGTGTAGGGATGGGAAAGGGGATGATGCATTTGACCTTCTTGAAGAATTCAAAAAGAGGGATAGTTTCATGAACGAGAAAACCCACAGATCTTTGTTAAGCGTGTTACATTTTTTAGGTGGACACTGATGGGCTGCTGTCTTCTTGAAGCTCTGTAGCCCCATTAAATATGTTATCTCTTTTGGCCTAATTTGGATAATAGGCTGACTCACTGGCCTGGTACAAATACTAGCAAAATTGGCCCATCCAGTGCTAACATTTTGTAACATGTCATTGTGCATCATGGCAATTATCATCATTATATTTCTCTCATATGCGATTCAGAGTGCCATATTTTTATATGCACACCTTCAGTAGTGCCAAGTGCAATAACTTTCTCTTTCTTTAACTTTCTCTTTCTTTCCTAGGCATATTCTATGTGTTGTTCTTGGATTGCTCTATATGGTAAGATAATAGTTTTCATGGGAAGAGCATGTGAGGAAAGAGATAGTGGAACAATAGAGGTGTATTTTAAGGGAGAGTTGGAGTTTTACTGAAGCAATAGAAAATGGAAGGAATGAAGCCTGTCAAAAAAGTTGTGATGATGGCACAAAAGTTGGATAAAGAATAAACCATTTGCTTTTAAACATCAACTCAACATGGTTGCTTATAAGCTATAACAGTTGATATCAAGGTCTTGTCCTAGGTGCATTTGACTTGGAAATGGGTTGTATTCAATAGTTTTTCATTCTGGGGTGGGGGTATGGAGAAGAGGAGTTCCCTTCTTTCGGCTTTGGACAAGATCACTGGCCTCCACAAGGCGTTCATAAATGGATATTGAAAATTGGCTGCATCACCTCAAGGCCTAGGCCCGGGCGGGCCGGCAGTTCATAAATGGTGGACCCGGGACCGGCCCGGGTAGCCTCCGGTTTTTTCCCCCTTCCTTCCTAACCCCCCCTCACTCCCCACCCCCCAAACCCCTCCTAACCATCTACCCCAACCCGGGTGGAACCCAAAAAATGAAAAAAAAAAAAAAAAATATCAATTTGACCCGGACCCGGGCCCGACCCGGCCGGGCCGGTTCGCTAATTGTAAGACCCGAGCCCGGACCCGCCCCCGGGCCTAGGCCGGACCCGAGAACCGGGTCGGTCTTGGTCCATGGGCCGGGTGGCCCGACCCTAGTCCACCATTGGACATATGCTTGTTCCAAGGATTCTGAAAAACTCAATTTTTTACTCCATCAAAATTGAATCAAAACTATTTAGATTTGCTGCCACAAACAATGAAATATTCATTTTTTAAATTTAAAAATCCTCACTAAAAAGGATTAATTTCAAAATGGTGATCGCGGGCTAGATCTACCGTTTTATTCAACAACTTCCGTGCTCAGATAACTTTAATCTCGAGCAAATAAGAATATTCGGGATTATCCTGGTTACTTCGGTACTCAACAATTCAGGTTGTTATATGAAGATTGCTAAAGATAAGGGGAGCTCAATTATAGTCCTCAAGGGCACACACAATTCAAAAATCAATGATTTTTGACAATATTGTCTAATTTTGTTGGATTATCTTATTTAGAGCAGGAAGAACTTATGCTTTGGGAGCATGAGACTTCAGATGATACTGAGGATATAACCATTTCCAAACTCATATTTAACTATGAAGTTCAGAGAGTCCATGGTGAGAAACAACAACCTCCTATAAGTCCTATTCCTTGAGAAACAAATTCCACTCTTCAAGATTACTTTGATGCCTCAGACAACTTTGACCATTCTGACGATTCTTTCTTCTCAGACGATCTTCTAGGACATGTTACGAAAGCGATCGTCGCCATTCTTTATCAAACCAGGAAGAAATTAGAAACTCCAAATTCAACAAAACGTTTTGCCGAAAAGCAAAGTTTGTCACCTACGAAAATTGTTTGCCAACAGACAACCTCAATACGCAACTCAAACTTTACATGAAATCTGAGCAAAATAAAAGGTGTCATATCATGAGGACTAGATCATAATCCAGATATTTCCCTTGGATCTAGTTTTTTGTTTTTTGTTTTTTTTTTCGTCTTTTCTTTTCTTCTCTGTATTTTGATTTGCTTTTATTTGTCTTCTTGTATTGTACTTTTTATTTTTATGAATAAAATCGTTCCTTTCAAAAAAGAGAGTCTAATATGAAGACTAAATATCAATTTTATAATACTCTCTCCGTATTTTAAAGTATGCCACACTTTTCTTTTTTGGATGTATTTAAAGTTTGTTATATTTTCTCGTTTTGGTAAGTTTTTCCTTTAAAAACACACAATTATTTTTACTTTTCCTACATTTTATCTTCTCTTTCATAGTTCTTCACACTCTCTCGTACCTTTTCTACATTATTCATTACTTTTACTATTTCATCCTTAAATGGTGTGCCCAAACCTATTGTAGAGAACTTTCAAATACGGAGTGAGTACTATATTATCATAAAAATTATTTATGTACTAATTTTATAATTTAATACAAATACTCATTTCATTTCAACTATATATTCATTAGGTATAAGTTATGATATCTGGTTGTACTGTGTGCAGTGGCGGACCCACCCGGACCACAAAATATTAAAGTAGCATAACGTTTCATATTTAACGTATATCATCAAAATATTAAGATAGTCATGATTAGTGGTGGACTCGGGTCGGGCCACCCGGCCCATGAACCGGCCGGGCCCCGCTACTGTGCGGGCCCGGGACCGGCCTAGTTCACCAGTCCGGGTACCGGGCTTTGACCCGGCCCGAAGGGGAGACGGTTCCGGGCACGGTTCTTCCAAAATGAGACCCGGCCCGGCCGGGTCCGGTTCGGGCTTAAATCAATTTTTTTTCATTTTTTTTATTTCAACGGGTTGGGCTGAGTGTTTGGGGGGGTTGAGGGTTGGGGGTGAGGGGGAGTCAGGGGTTAATTAGAAAAAGCAAAAAAAAAAAAAAGAGGCCCGAGGCCCAGCCCGTACCCGGTAGCTACCCAGGCCGGTCCCGGGCCCAACTATTCAGAACCGGCGGCCCGCCCGAGCCTAGGCCCGGCCCGGACCCGACCCGGCCCGAATCCACCTGGTCATAATGTATAAAGTATTTAGACTTGACGTTTTGGCTTAATGTTTGGATTTTTTACACGTATATTTATTTGGCTGCACCAATTATTTTTGAGCTTTTTCTAAGATGATACAATGTAATACAATGTTCTACGGTTCGGTCATCTCGCCGAAATATTAATTTCAACTTCATTTATTTCATGATAAAGTTAGTTGATAAAATAGCTAAGCCGAAATTTGGGGATACATAAAGGCTTTATAAAAAAAGTTGGGCATAGTTTTGACTTTTGAGAAAAATAGATTAAAAGTTGGGAAATAAAAGGTGGCATGAGAAGTTGATAACTGTACAAAAAAGTGGGCACTTAGAGCATCTCAAGGTGGATTGGGATTCCAACTAAGCAATTGCACTTTTGATAATCATGTGTACTCTCCAATGGTAACATCAATGGACTTCAAGGGATGACATGGCAGAGCACATAGTCCAGCAAAGGGTCTACATTGAGGGAGTGTTTGCAACTGCTTCTGCTTTAAAAAAAGTACTTTTGAAGATGTAAGGAAAAAGTGATTAGTAGTAAAAGTTGATAGTGTTTGAGAAAAAAGTGATTTTGAAAAGTAAAAGTTGGTTGTGTTTGGTAAAATAAGTGCTTTTTGTGTAATAGATAAGGGAAAAGCACTTTTCACACGCAAGCCGAGAAAAAGTAAAAATTGGTAGTGTTTGGTAAATAAGTGCTTTTTTAAGCCAAAAGCTGAGAAATGTTTTTTTTAAGCTATTGCAAACACTCCCTGAGACCCTTGGTGCCACCCTCTCACACATTATCACCAAGCTTTTCTTTTTCTCTTTCATCACCCTTTCATAATTTATTTGCTTTACACTTGTGCACTGCAGCATGCTTCAAATTGGACCGCACCATTTTGATTTGCACACCCGCACTTGCACACTTGCTCATACGTAGTATTTGATTTGGACCTTCTCCATTTATTAGCCAAATAAGTAACAATTCACCCTTGGGTTGAAGATGCTCTTAAGGAATCGATTCCTGCACCTCCGCACAAGAAGACGAGCTCCACAATAAAGCAAGTTACCGTTCCACTTATGGAGTAACAGTTTCGTTTTTATATATACATTAATTAGTTTATTTTGTATAAAAAATATATAAATGTATAGATGTATTTTTTGGAGGTCCATGGGTCCCGGGACCTCGTGGGTCCGCCATTGGCTGTGAGCATGTTACATCTAGTTGTACCATATAATTTACGATTAATCACCATCTGAAATATTTTTTTAGCATACATTCTAATAGAACATAAACGCACAATGGTTTTGTACCAAAGTGCCCCTGTTTGTACACAAGGTGTGCACTTTTGGTACATCTTATATAAAGTATAAACATTCAAAATTTATCATTTTTACCCTCCTTTCCTCTCTATCCATATGGTTCTCTCTCTCTTTCTACTTTTTCTTTCTTTCATCTTCATCAATTTTCACCATCTTCCATATTCATCACCTTTTATCTTCACTATTTCCATCTTACTCGATTCCATATTCACCATATTCCATCTTCATCACCTTTCATTTCACCAAATCATTTTGTACCATATTATACCATACCTACTTCATCATCACCTTTTTTAGATCGAAAAAACAACCAATGATGGAGCCACTGGAAATTTCATTGGATTAATGTTTGTAACATTAGTAAAATAAAATTTTGATAAAATTTGTCTTTGAGAAGAATTTAAATTGAAAAATAGTGCTACGTACAATGTTTGTAAAAGCCACTGACAAAATATATGTTGAAAAAAATAAAATTTTACCAACAAAAAAATGTCTGGGCACATACAAGATATGTATGGGTACCAACACCTTTTGTGAATATCTAGATAACTAATGCCTGCAAACAGATGTTGATTTGCGCGCAACCAGGGCCGTCTAATGAATTTGGAGGCCCCTATTCAAAATGCAAATTGGAGGCCCCGCGTTAATATAAAAAACTAAAAAATATGCTCGATGTAAAATCTTATTATACTCAAATCAATTGAATACTCATTAAATAATGTAATCAAAGAATTACATGTAGTAATTTTCCCCTTTCAAATAATTAATCTCTACATTTTTGTAAAGTGTTTCAATTTATGAGGGGATTATTATACGGAGTAGTGGAGTGTGAGTTTAGCTGCAGCTCATATTCGTATATGATAGTATACACTATTACATTATATAATTAATTAATTAATTAATTAATATTAGGGACCTAAGAATAATACTACTAGTGTCTTATAAATATCGGGGGCCCATGCAAAGTGGGGACCTGTTCT